TGCGATTTAACATTTTTATCAATGACCTGGAAGAAAACATAAAATCCCCCCCCTCAAAGACAAAAGTTTTGCCGCGACAAGTGGCAGTGTGAACACGGCTCCTGCCGACAAAGCGAATGCCGCTCACGGGGCTGGAAGTATTTTGTCGGCAAAAGTGCTGACAAACAGCGTTTACACACACCGACGTTTAGCAACAAGGCTGTGTCAACACAGCCTTGTCGCTAAAAGCTGCGTGGTGTAGACAAGTCCTAAGTGGAATGTGGGTGTTAAGAGAGGACTGGCTAGTGTTTTTTTCCCTAGGCTGACAAGTTCAAACAACAATTTTGCATGACTAATTTAACTTATTTAGCATATCTATAGGAAAGAGTGTGACAGGGGCTTAAGTTACGGGGCACCAATAGTTACATGCAAAAAGCAGTAAAACTTAATATCACATAACTGGTACATCAATGTACCATTGACTGGCAGTCATTAGTTTCCTGCAAATAATTAGTTACACTTCAACCCAGAGTTTCCAGGCAAAACACATTTTGGTACAGAGACTGCAATCACTTTTATCCTGCAATAACATTTAACCTGCAACTCCCAACCCTGCATAGTCAAGAATTAAGCTACATTATATTACCATATATATTAAATTATATTACCTACAGAAGTGCTACATTATATTACCGTCTATACTTGTTCATAAGCCGAACATTTTTGGTAAAAGAGTGACATATTGAAGAGTGGGGGTCATCTTATAAACGGGTCTACACCAAAATGTGATGATTTTAAACTCTATGGAATCATTGAATTGAATATCTAATACATTGTCATTTTGTTTACCTGGAAAGTCTGCAGGCATGGAGCCCCTCAGCTCCCTGTAGCAGTGGTTCACCGTTTTCAGTCAATGGGAGCTGTGGGAAGTGGTGCACCACTTCCTGCAGCTCCCAATGGCTGGGAACGGCGAACCGTGACCACAGGGAGCTGAGGGGCTCTGTGCCTGCAGATGCTCCAGGTAAACAAAACGTCCTAACCCGCCAGCAGCTTACCCTCATGGACCGGGAGTCAAAGTTCGCCAACCCCTGAAATATAGAGTTGGCTTATGAAAGGATCATACAGTTTTTGCTATTTTTACCTAACCATCTTGGGGGGTCGGCTTATAAACAAATGGGCTAATGAAAGAGTACATACGGTACTTTGTATTACTATAGCGCCTAGAAGCCTCAATCATGGACTAGGATCCCACTGTGCTAGGCGCATAAAAAACAGAGCAAGACGACAGTCCCTGCCCTGGAGAGCATACAATCTACATGTGGATGGATGCAGACAGACGGCAAAGTACAAGGAAGCCATGAGACAGTGTTGTCTAAATATACAAGACAGAGACAGGGTGGGGGATGGGGTAGAACACACCAGCAAAGTCAACAATGTGATGGTGGCAAATGTTACATAGTTCCATATTTTTTCTTCTTCTTTTGGGTGGGTTTACTTGGGAGGGGGATCAGCTACATGGAACGAAGGGAGGGTGAGGGTAGGAGGAGCAGGTGAAGAGACTGAATTAGAGGGAGTGGGAAGGTTGGAGTAAACAGCCAATCAGCACAGGGCAGAGGACATCTGAAAACATTTGATGAGAATGTCCCCAGATCCCTGCTGTGGTTGCTTCTGCGCCTACAGGTTGGAGTCTGGTTGGCTCCTCTCCGCAATTCTCCCCTAAGGTCACATGGCAAGGGGAAGGAGAGGCACACGCCTTATTTCAATTTCAGGCTAAGAAATACCCTGAGGCACCCAGAGCTTTGGATGGGCATCTTTTGGGGTGCATATGTTTATAAATGGAACAGCTGAGATTGAAAGGCAGTTGGGTGCCTAACAAACCCCACCCTCAACTACAGCACCAGGAGCGCCCCATTCCACAACAGAACCGGATGCAAGGCATTGACTGATGTAAAGGAGTTATTACCTCATGACTTCAGAGTAGCCCTTGGCTGCAGCTACATGCAGAGCAGTAGCACCTGACCGAGGTTGCTTTATATCCTCAAGCTTCCCACTGTTTAGCCACTGCCGTGCATCCTGCAGCATCTGTTGCTCTTCCTCTTTCCTTGCCAAGTCCAGGTCCACCCCTGTGGGAGCAGATCGCAGATGGAAAAACAAAATCAAACCAAAACTCACCTGTACTTGTGTGTCAATTTAAAATGGAATAATTTTAACAAAATTTTTGGCCGTTTTGCAAGCTCACTAATAGCATTTCCTAGGATGTAGGAGAACTCCTGAACCACCCTCAACAGAAATAAATTCACTGAGATTCATAATACTTAAAACTGAGAGGCTCATTCACAAGCCAGCCCACAATTAATTACTAGGTAAAGCATGAATTGTTATGGGTGCAAGAATTGAGTCCTCAAAAATGCAGACCTAGCTTGAAAAAAGTCAAGCACAGCCCAAAGAACAGTCTAACAAACTGAATTAAACATGAATATACATTTAATCTATTGTGTACAGCTGATGAGATGCACCTCAGACACCTCTTGCAAGGTTAAAATACCCAAAAAACTATTGATAAATGAGCTTATTAACAG